TTGCAGCCCGTGTAACCCCCCAGGTGCTGTAGGAACACTGAGCAGCCAGAGGACTAAATATCGACTTCAGTCAACCCCACCTGGACCTCTGTCCCAGGCGTACCATCTGTCCGGTTTCGAGTGAGCCCGGCTGCCTGAGTGACACTTTCTCCATGGCCCCTGCCCACGAGCTCTACACAGTTCACCACGTGGGTCAGCCCCAGGAGCTGGCCCACCACTGCCCATAGGATGTGCCCGTTTGCTCCTGCCCTGGAGTATGTGGGGCATGTAGGTGCCCACCCAAGATGGCAGGGGAAGGGGTGGGGGACTGGTCCTGGGGGGGCCCTCTCTCCCCACCACCCAACCACCCGCTGGCCTTGGGAAGGAGTGGGAGGCTGGGCGATCCCCAGCCCCTCACGGCCATCAAGCCCATGGATACAATGGGCTTCTGGGATTGCTGGGAATGGGTGCTCTAGGGAGGGCACAAGCATGTGGGGTGCAAGGACCCTCATTCCCACATGCTGCCCTTTCCCTCCGCCTGCGGCTCAGCTCTGAATGTCACCACAGGGGAGCAGTAATGTGGCGATACCAGGTAACTCCTGTTATTCAAGTTTGGGGGGAAATGTCCTGCTGGGAGAGCAGAGACCCCCAGTCAGTAATGGACAGAGGCTGGGAGGATGACCCATCTCCAGAGATGGCCCATGGGGCACACTGAGCCAAGCACTCCAGCTGAAAGTTTGGCCATTCGAGCCCCCCAGGGATATCTCTGCATGGGGATCCCCTTCGTCCTGACTGGAGAACCCCTCACAGCCACCCCATGTCAGCCAGGTTCCCGGGAACCCCTTACCACCCATCAGTACCCCGAAGTGAGGCCCCCGCTGTCTGAGGACAGGAGTCCTCAGAGCCCAGGCACCTGGATCCAGGATGCGTGTCTCCCCTGAGCCCCCACCTGCCCAAGAGGAACAAAGCCTGGGTCTGACCCTTCCACAGCCCCTCAGCATCTCCCGCCTTGCCCACATCCACAGCTTCCACTTGCCCACTTCCTCTCAGCCCCTGGGAGCCCCTTGCTATCTCCCCACCACCCGCAGCCTCCTTGCCAACTGTCTGAGCCCAGCCCCTGAGGTCTGGGACACACGTAGCCTGTTTGCTGCTCAGTGGGGGTGGGCGTCTGATTGTAAGGGGGTCTTAGATGTCTCCTTCCACATCCAGTGAGGTCCAAGTGCCCCAGACCCACCTGCACCACAGGCAACAGTCTTCTATCCTCAGAGAATTACACGCTTCTCCTTATCACCAAGCGGCCCCCCTACCACCTCCTGGTCCCACTGCTCGCCCCAGGAGGATAAGAATGGGTGACAAAGGAAGGAGCCCTGAGCAGGAGGGACTCGGAGGAGAGTTTGGGGAGGCGGGGTGGGGAGGGGACAGAAGGGGCAGTTATCCGAAAGGAGCAGAGGGTGCCAGGTGGTCTAAGAGGAAGGACTAGAGGAAAAAGCCAGCCTCAAAGCAGGACAAGGGAAGGGGTGGGAGCCTGGGGACTCTGACCTCCCTCCTTAGACCCGATGCCCCTCCGGAATGGATCATAGTGCCCCCACAACACCCCGGGCAGGAGGGAGCCCATACCTGTCACAGTGAGCGTGGTGCCCTGCCCGAAGTGCAGGGGCGAGTTATTAGCACAGCCCAGCATGGCCGTGGTGAAACCCAGGGGTGCCTTGAGAGCCGGACTCAGGGTCTGGACCAGGAGGAAGGGACCTCCAAACAGAGGGGTGGAAGGACAGAGAGGGTGGAAGGGATGGAGGGTGGGAGAGACGGAGGGATGGAGGGGCAGAGTGAGAAGCCCCAGAGGAAAGTCTCCGGCCTGGCAGAGGACAGGCCAGGGAAGCAGAGGCCCCCTACAGAGAAGGCTTGGGAGAAACCACACTTCTGCTGCCAGGGGACCCCAGGACAAGTGGAGGTCTGCTCCGCACCCTTCCCCCAGAGGCCACGACCCAGCTCCACAGACCCCGCCACCCTCTGGAGCCCAGCCTCACCCAGGACAGAGAGCCGAGTCCCCTCTCCAAAGAGCTGCTGTGCCTGGTTCCCACACAGCACGGTGCCCAGGGGCAAACCCAGCCCAGTGGGGGGCTTCCATCCACAGTCCTGGGCTCACCACAAGACCCCCTTACACCCAGGGCCCACCCAGTCTGCTGTCCCTTGGCCCCCAGGCCTCCCCATCTTTGGACTCCCACCGGACAGCGCGGCCTCCTGAAAGTAACGGTCACTTACCCAGGACAGAGAGTTTGGTTCCAAGGCCAAAATACAGCTTTTCGTTAGTTACACAATATTAGAGCTGAGCAAGCAAACGCCCCCTGCTGCCTTCCCCCCTGCCTGCTCCCGGCTGCCGGCCCCCGACTCAGCCAGCTGGCCTCCCCCTTGGTTTTAGCAGGCATTTGAGTTCTGGGGGTGCGAAGGGGGCAGCTGGGGGACCTGCAGTGGGTGGGCAGAGGCCAGATTCAGCCTGGAACTTGTCCCCCTGCGTCCAGCTCTGCTCTGCCGGGCTGGCCCCCATCTACCCTGTTTGATATCCTTGAGTGGCAGAGAAGGACCAGGGGCCCAGCCTGGTCAGACCACCTGCTGTCAGTGGGGGCCCCAGCCGGCTTGGCCATCTACAGGCTTACTGGGATCGAGCCCCTGGCCCATCTGCCCAAAGACAGGATTTCAGGCCAGCACCAAGGTGGCCCATTGCCCCTGCTACCCCGTCGCCCCCAGCAGCCCCCTTACTTACCAATGACACTGAGCCGGGTGCCCTCCCCGAAATAGACCGTGTTTCCAGAGCACAGCACCCCAGGTCCACCTCAAAACCCCCTGTCTGCGGAGCCCGTGGGGGTGGTTGGGCTGAAGCAGGTGGGGGGGTCTTCATGGGTTGCCCCCGCTCCCCATCAGGAAGTCATCACTACCCTCCAACCCAGCCCAGCATCCCAAACTCCTGGCAAAAGGGCCCAGCCGGCCTTCTGCACAGTGCAGACCAGGAAGGTGGTCAGTAAAAAGCCTCCTTTTACTGTCCCCTGTCCCCTGGTCCCTGTTGTGCCATCTTCATCCCCCTCTCTGCCCGGCCTCAGGGGCTCAGCCGGGGCCCATGCAGTCCCACCGGATGGGCTCTGCCCCCAGACTCCACGAGCGCCCAGGCCTTACCGACAACGGTTAGCTTGGTCCCTGGGCCGAAGGTGGCATCATAGTTAGCACACCAGCAACGGGCCTCTCTGAATCGGACCCAAGGGGCCCTGTCCCCGGGGGACTCACCTAGGACCGTGAGCCGGGTGCCTGCTCCAAAGAACTGCTCGGTGTTCACACAGAGTGCGGGCCAAGGAGGAAAGTCCACGGGGGCCAGCAGGGCGGACGGCGAGGCTCAAAGCCCAGGACCACGGGGGCCAGCAGGGCGGACGGTGAGGCTCAAAGCCCAGGACCCTCTGTGCGGTGCGCACGCACGATCCCAAGAAAGAGCCTTTTCTTGAAAGTGCTCAGCCTGCTCCTCACATTGCCCCTGGGCTTGGAGAGAGGCTAGAGTCTGTCTGCCCAAGGCCCA